TATTACAATCTATGCTATGAAACTGTTTTTCTGCTGTTTGGCAATTGGTATGAAGTTAGGGACTTTTGCTTTATTTTTTTTTCGAAGTGTAAACCTTCGGATAGCTTTTAGATTGGTTATGTCTGCTACTTTCACTACTCAATTCTGGCCTATTACTGCTAGCTAAAAAATCAAGTGCGGCACCACAACCTTTTTTTCCCCCCAAGTTGCAATGAATCAGATTGGAGTGCTTATGTGATGCCAGAATTCCATGTTGCTGATGCTGTCCATGAGCACCGTACTGTTCCATTTCACCGCATACAGCTTCAAGGATTGCTGCATCATTCTTCTTCTCATGTCGCCCTCAAAGTTGCATAAAACAGAGGGCCCTCTTACCACTGAATGGTATTTCTTAAAATTGTTTTATGAACATTAAAGTTTGGAATTTATGATGAGTCCGACAAACAGCCCGTGAATCGAACCAAGGCACATTGGCTCATTACTAGTTTGCATAACATAGCTAATGCAAATTCCTGCTCTTGTGATTGGCTTATTGGTTTTTGCATAGGTTCCATGCGTGCGCTCGCGAAATCGCAAAAAACTACCATACCTAAAATTGGCCATTGGTGACGCTTTAAAAGCTTTTGCCACTAATCAGTTTAGTGTAAACAGTGATTGATGGTCCTAGAATTATTACTCTCACTCCCACGTTCGCAGCGATATGTAACATGTGTGGCATAATAGTTGTTTTCGCACGGAGGCGAACCCGACTCGTATTTACGTTTATAAGTGCATGCACGCGGAGGCAGGGGACTTACTTTTTGGGGGGTGTTTTTAGGTTTGTTTTTTAAGTCAGTGACTATATATTTTTTTAACTTTTTTGTTTTTTACACTAAACTTTATTGCTAAGACATAGGGGGCTAACAATCCCCCTATGCGATTACAAATATACAATGACAGATCCTCTTTATGGAGACATCAGGGGTCTCTTAGAACCCTAATGTCACCTTGGGACCCCCAAAGAAGCTGATGAAGCAGTGATCTCTCTATAGCAGAGAAATGACAACTAAAGGCGGAAGTGATGCAATACACTTCACTTCCGCCTTTAGAGATCGGAGGAGAGATCAGCAAGTTCAGCAAGTAGGAGAATGCTGATCTCTCCTCCATGTACAGCTGAGGCTGAAAAGCCGCTGTGCTGGTCCTAGGCCCGCAGGGGGGGCAGCAGATCCCCGGATAACCGGCAGCAGGAGCAGAGGGGGGCGCGTCAGTAGAGAGAAGGGGCGCACTGTGTGTTGTCATACAAGCGATGGACCGGCCGCTTGTGTGTAACAGCCGGTAATGGGTGTTTACATTCCTGGTGGGAGCACTGATTTCAGATCCAGTGACATCATCACTCTGTCCTTCACTATGCAATTCAGGCAGATCATGGCTGGTGGAAGGGGCTGGCAGGATATTGTGATGTTTTCAGAAAGCCATGTACAGCTGCTCCCCCCCCCCCCCCCCCACCAGCCATGGTCTACCTGCATTGCACAGAGAAGCATAGAGACCCAGTGATGATGCCACTAGATCTGAAACAAGGTATGTGATAAAAACAGAAAGGTTTTTTTATTGTAAATAATATTGGAGAAAATGGAGAAATTAATGCAGCCACCTCATCTAAGGACAGGTAAGCTGCAGTAAATTACATGTTTGTTTTTTGGATGTAGATATGCTTTAAGCATTTCATCCGCGTTTCATTTTTTCACGGCAAGGTTGATGCAATTTTCCATTTGCTATCGGCCCGCCGTGTCCCGTGTGTGGTTTTGATCTCGCTGAAATATGTGAAACGCCTTTTGTATATAGGGCAGAGCTTTATCAGCGGAGAGGCAGAGCCGCCCAGCCGAGCGTTACGCTTTAAATTGTGAATGAACGGCGAGATGGAAAAGCGGTGTCGCCGGAGAACGCTGTGTGAATGAAGCTGAATTATTAACGATGAAATAATCATTATATAACAGAGAGAGCGTTCACCTTGAGAGCGGGAGGGTGATTACGGGGAGCGCGGAGGAGCAGCTGGGTAAATTCAAACAAATAATATTACCACAAATCACCAGGAGAAGAAAGGAGACGACAATGTACAGCTCCCCTGGACCCGGAGGGCCACGCATTATTCTTATTCGCCGAGAACCAATCGGGCCCGTCAGCTGCGCGCCATTCAATGGGAGTCGGGGAAGAAATAAATTCGAATCTCTCTGAAAGCACAAATGGAAATTTCGCAGCTGCTACAAAATCTAGAAGACAAAACGGATTTTCAGCTCTTCGCGTTATTAGCTGGAAATACACAGCTGTCTTCACAAATATAATCGCTTCTTCCTTTTCTTCACATTTTTAAAAGACTAACCTTCTGCATTTTAAAGCTAAAAAATAAAAAGTAGCCAAGTAATAGTAAAACATTTTTTTAATAAAGGGGCTATTGCTGCAATACGCACCTTCAATCCAGTGCTGCACCTCCCCTCCCCCATCCGAACATCTTTGCCACCGCTTGGAGCTTTCCTCTTTGAATAGAGTAGGTGAGAGGTTACAACAGGGGTGGGCAAACTCCAGCCCTCCAGCTGTGGTGCACCTACAAATCCTATCATTCATCTGCCTCTGGGAATCATGCCTGTGGCTGAAAGAATCTGGCAAGAACCTGGCATAAGCCACGACTCATTCTCCCAAAAAAATGTCAGTGCGTCGATAGAGTGTTCGGGTTTCGCTGGAAGAAAAGGCGGCAACCCTAGATGGCACTAGCCACAAAGAGCCTGGAGTGCGGAGCACCCAATTGATATATATATATGCATATACAGCATACCGTAAGAACACATACTGTTGTAAGAACACATACTGTATATACATTTATATTCATGCACAACTGCCTATATGTTAGGAGCTTATGGCAAGGTGGCACAGTAGCCACATTGTGGGCTATGGGCCCCAAAGGCCAGGAAAGCAGGAAGCAACACCATAACACAACGCACAGAGGAAAGCGCCCTACTAACCAGACTAAAAATGCCCTAAAATGTGTTTCTCTGACAAATATAACTTGAAGTGCTAATGAACTGAGCCTTGTAGTACATAGTGCACACACTGTACCCTCCCTATGATGTTACATCATGCATCCTTTTCAAGAAGTTTTAGACCCAGGAGGGGACTGAGAACTTCCCACGATGATCCCATCTCTTCCACACAGAGCGGAAGGCCTGAAAAGGACAGGCATGAATACTTCCACAATCCTATTTAAACCCTCCAGCCTTGAGGATTCCACTTCAATCGAGCAGGAAGATTTGTTCATGCTTTTAAAATTAACAAAGGGAATATAATGTTTTCTACAAACAAGTTTGATTGCACTCTAGAAATGAACTTTGATAGACTAGAATCTATCTATCTATCTATCTATCTATCTATCTATCTATCTATCTATCTATCTATCTATCTATCTATCTATGTTCCTTTTTCTATCTGTCTTTCCTTACTTTCGTCCTTCCTCTTTTTTCTTCATCCCTTCTTTCCATCCTTTGTTTCTCCATATTTTCCTTCCTTTGTTCCATCCTTTCCTCCACTCTCCACCACTCTCCCTTTCTTCCTTCCTCCCTCTCTTCCTTCATTCATGCTTTTCTCCCTCTCTTCCTTCCACCCTCTCTTTCTTCATTCTTCTCTTCCTTCCTTCCATCCCTCCTTCCTCTCTTCCTTCCTTTTTTTCTACCTCCACTCCACTCCTTCCTTCCATCCATTCTTTCTCAGACCTTAGGGGGTTAACTAAAGGTAATATCCCCCTTCCATCTTTCATTTTCATTTTTATTTTTCCACGAGTTGCAATATAAATGAACCCTCTAGATAGTAATTCAGAGTTCCAGCCAGAGAAATGAGAGAAAAAACTGCCGCCTGTTAGCAAATCTCTTATCTCAGCAAGAAACCTTCAGAGTTCTGACGTCTTACTGATCCCAGGAAGACGTCTAACGAGTTGCTAATTACTGATAGAGGCAGCACAAGTGAAATTTAATTATACTTCAGTTTACTTTAGTTTGCCAATAAAATTAATGAATTTCTACTCCAAGTGTAGAAAATGTGTCTTTGAGAAAAATAAAGTGATAAACACATTAATGCGTACAATTTATTATATCATCGTCACATACACATTGCACATTCATATCAGTCCCTGCCCACATGGAGCTGACAATCTAATTTCTCTTATCTCACATGCACACACATACTAGGGCCGGTTTAGACATGAGCTGATTCACCTACCAGCATGAGGAAACCCACACAAGCACAGGGAGAACATGCAAACTCCATGCAGATAGTGCCTAGGTCATCAACCAAACCAAAGACCCCAGTGCTTTACAGCGAATATGCTAACCACTGAGCCACTGGGCAGTTTGGGATTTTTTGGAGGTGGACCAATAATGCATTATAAACACCAATATTTACATTTTTTTGTGTTTTATAAATCTATTCAAATTGCTTTATGTACCGTGTTTCCACGAAAGTAATACACTGTCTTATATTTTTTTTGGCTCAAAAAAACACACTAGGTCTTATTTTCGGGGTAGGTCTTACTTCTTTTTTTTTTTTCATGTACAACAATCCAAAATTAAATAATCCAAAATGGCAAAGTCAAGAATAGGGTGATCAGGGCAATCGGGTGCTGTACCTTTCCAAGAGCAATTTGGTAACCAATCGCTGGCCAGAAAGAGCGAAGTGCGCTTTCACTATGAATTCCTCACAGGCGGAGTGCATTTGGTATCACTCCGCCTGTGACAGGAGCCGGCGCTATAGAGGAAACATCAGTTATGTGGCTCTGCTCTTCAAGTTCCCCCTTATGCCACCACCGGCGCTGGGAATGGCCACAACTAGGCCTTATTTTCGGGGTAGGTCTTATATTTTAGCAATTCCCAAAAATAGTACTAGGTCTTATTTTCAGGGTAGGTCTTATTTTCGGGGGAAACAGCACTTGGGGTTGGTAGTTATATTGCGATTATGCAAGTACACGCAATTTTAAGGCTTGACATGTTTGGTGTCTGTTTACCCGAGTATCACTTGTTCTGCCTGATGAAGGGGACCCTGTGAGACCCCCGATACATTACATTGAGTGTATCACGTTATGCTGCTCATACGTCAATAAATAGATGTATTTGATTTGCTCTTGAAGTGCCGGTATCTATATTTCTACGTGTTTACCCAACTCGACCCCATCTTTTATATTTTACCCAACAATTGGGTAGTAATAAACATTTCCTAGCATATTGTAGTACTACACATATTGCAGCGGTGGACGCCGGCAGTGAGCGGAGGGGACGTTCACCCGGCGTGATGAGGTATGCCACCGGGTCTCCTCCTCTCTCCTGACACTGTCGGGCTCTCGGGCTGTCAGTCATTTTGGTGTCGCCTCTCCAATGGTGTCACCCGGGTGCGGGCCGCACCTCCTTTGTGACGCCACTGTTGGTCTTGTCCCTCCCCCAGCCTTTGTCCTGGGCAGGGCAGGGAAAGAGAAGCAGCAGACTGAGCTGATTCCTCTGTCTCTCTGCATGCCCCCTGACAACACTGCAGCAAAACGTATTGCCTCCTCGTGCTTCTTCTTCCTCTCAGAGTCTGGGCTCTTCTCTACAGCGGATTGCATGAGGCTGATTCAGGTATTTACACTAGATGCGTTTAAACATATACTTAGGGGTCTGTTTACTCGGATGAACCTGAAAATCAACTAAATTCATTTGATTCGGCGATTTGGCCGAATCCGAAATAACAATTTTTTTTATATGCCCGAATATACTAAAACGATATTTGGGCATATAAAAATTAATTATCAGAACGCGTGTTCTGCGCATGCCCGCTGCCATCTTGGAGGCCGGGAGCATAACGTCACAGGATGCCATATCATGTGAAGTTATTCATAGAACGAGTGGCCGCCAAATCGGCTGCCAGCGTGTTCTGCGCATGCACGCTGCCATTTTGGACTATATATTGGTATACATCAAGATGGCGGCGCCCACATATTTGGGTGCCACCATCTTGGTGTATACCAGGATATAGTCCAAAATGCAGTTTCTTTGTGCGGTTTCGGATTCGGAGGCTTGTTGCCTCCGAATCCGTAACAGCATTAAACATTTGTTTCCATTGACGAAACAGAGGAAAAATGTTTTCATGTTTGTCCAAAACAATTTTTTTGGCCCTGCACATGTTTACTGTTTATCATTGTTTTTACCCAAGATGCACATAACTTTCACACATTTTCCTTTAATATTTCAATGGTAAAAAATGGGTGAATTTGGGGTGAATGTTGTGTGAAACTTTTTGAGCAAAAGACCCCTTAACTCTTTCACTGCCTGAGCCGTTTTTGAGTCTTTTTGCACATGATATAATTCAGATTTTAGGCCCTAAAACCACTTAAAACCCCCGAGAGGTATATATTTCCTGAAAGCAGAGACCCTGTAGAATAAAATGGTGGCAGTTGCAAATTTATACGTCGCATGATATTAGTGCGACTCTTTATAAAACCCCAAATATCTGTAAAAAATTTCACTTAACTTAATTTTGGTGTACAAAAAACATTGTAAAAGATGGGATTGCGCCGAGTAAAGAGATACCCAACATGCCAAGCTTAAAAACTATGGCAGAGTGGGCCGCCGCAGCTGTAAATGAGCTTAGAATATTGTTCCCATATATGGTAATCTGGTGGAGGGCCCTGGTGCTTCGCTGATGGTTATCAAGGGGCAACTTGCCCTAATTGGAGACACAACTTAAGGTGCCCATACACCTTACAATTATCGTACGATAATCGTATGCGATCGCGTTTTCGTCTGATAATCCCAAGGTTCATGGGCAGTGTACAACCGCAAATACTGTACAATCGTACAACTTTTGACTTTCAAGCAGGTTTGAAAACTTTGCTCGATCTTACAATTTTACGCAAAGTTGGTGGCGTTTCCGTATGTCAAAAATCGTACGATCTACACTGTTCATGCACAAACGAAAATACGTGCGGCCGATTACAGCAATTCGTCTAGGTGCTTTTCTTTAATTACGGCTAATTGAACCTTGCGATAATCGGGGCGGGATGGGGCCGCTGTACGACAATCGTAATGTGTATGGCCAACTTTACATGAAATTAAAGGAGATTCTGAACCAAGCAACCTATGAAAAGGCATAGCTCTACCAAACTGAAACAAATGTCCATGGACATACAAATAACAAATGACATGTTAAAAAAAAAGTGACACCCCTGCTAGCCGCCCACCACATTTTAGGTCACGTTCTGCTTGTTTTCTCAGCTTCAGAGAAATGTCACTTCGTCTCGCCTCGTTGATTAACTAACTTAGCTTAACATCATTCACTTGACATTTGTCATTTCGTTAACAGCTACGGAAGTCAATGTAACATTTTACTAATTAGCTGCAGAGTTCAGTGTAAGCGGCGCTTCTTCCAAAAATTAGAACCCAATTTCATTGTCACTTAAATTTTGATGAGCAGATTAAAAAAATCATTTACTCGGGAAATGTAATTAAAGTAATAAAAACGATATTTTATTTCCATCTTTATTAACTTACAAAGAATGATATGAATTGTCTGTTTGCGTGCAAACCGAAGTTGCTTTATTATTTTTCGGAGAGGAACGACATTATACAAGTACAACAAGTGCTTCTTTAAAGTGTAGCTAAACCCAAAGTAACAACAAAATGATACATTGCAGCTTACCAGCTATTAGATGTGATGGATGCATTTGTTTTATGGCCCAGTCACACCATATTCAGTGCGTTCCGGCAGGGTCCGAGCCAGGAAAACACAGGATCACATAGATCAGGCCGGGCCACGTTCTGGGGCGGGTGGGGGCCTGGTGGTGCATTCATGTCAATGGCACCGCAGGCACGCTCCCCTCCCACAGTCCGATCGCCCACACCGGAACACGAGGTACAGGAATGCCCACTGTTTCAATTTTTTCCAATCGCACTGCACCGGAACGGAGGGCATTCCTGTCCCTCGTGTTCCGGTTGGGGGGGGGGGCGTGTCTGTGGTGCCATGGACATGAATGGCACCGCCACGCCCCATCCCGCCCCAGAAAGCAGCCTGGCTTGATCTATGCGATCCAGTGCGTTCCGGGCTTGGACCATGCCAGAACGCACTGGATATGGTGTGACTGGGCCCCTAAAGCAGAACTCTGAGAAAATTGTTCTAAACCCTTGCAATGAGGCTACTCCCTCACTGCAATGGTTAAGTCCTCCTTTTTGTCTAGGGTCAAAAATAACAAAATTATACTCACCCGAAGCTCCGAGTGGCTTGCTCTTAGACCGGTCCCTTCTGACTGTCTCCCGCTCCACTGCAGTGATGGTACGTCCCTTGGCGTCCTCGCATCCTATACAACTGTATAGAATGTCATGACTCATGGACCTTAGACTGCTGCAGCCGAGGGGGAGCGAGGGTCCAGGGACCAGTCTAAGAGCAAGCCGGCTCAGAGGATTGGGTGAGTATAACTTTGTTCATTTTGAACCTAGACAAAAATCAGCACTTAACCCTTGCAGTGCAGGGGTAGCCCCAATACAAGGATGAAGAATAATTTTCCCCAGAGTTCTGCTTTAATTTTTCAGTCTTTTATTTTCATCTGATAACCCTGCCAGTAACACACTTCCTGTCCCAGGTGACAACGCTCATTCCTCCACTGTGTCTAAGGAGGGAACTGTGGTTGTCGCCCAGGCTGAACTTCATACGTTTTCATCTTCATTACACAGGGGATGAGGATATTAATGGTTTACAGAAGAAATATAAAGTTCTTTGTGCTTTCAGTTCATCTCACAAAAAGTGACAAGGACACGGCTAGCAGGATCACAGGTATGTTCTGTATTTGCTAAAAATGGTCTAAGCCTGAATAAAGAAAACGAATGCAGCCACCATATTCAAGGAGTGGTAAGCAGTAATATATAGACTTTTTGTACTTGGGTTTAGATAATGTATCCTTTAAAGCCTAACTCCAGTGTGCTTGCTATGATTTCAGAGTACCCCCATTTGCTGTAAACCTTCTAACTTTGCTTTAGATACTTTAAAAACCGCTTATTAGCAATGGTCATATGACTGCTGTCCACCATTTCTGCCTCCTCAGTGTCGGCCGATAGAAAGCGATATGGCATGTCCATGTCATAGAGCAGAGATGTGTGCTGTAGTTCCAGGACTACATTTGCCAAGAAGCAATTCACCTGCCTAAGTGGTAGGGGTGGGGGGTTGTGGTAGCAGCACCAATCAGCATCATTGTGGGCATTACTGGGCGATCTGGTTGGGACTACCTAATGCAGTAATGCGGGCTCATTATGTTGCAGCCCCAGCAAGGCCACAGACCTCTGCTCTATCTTTTATTTAAAAGTCCCATCAAAATGCAGTCCTTGCCCACCCTGTCTCTAATAGTGAACTTTAAAATCAGGAACTTTGGCCAATGATGATGTAAAAAACTCAGGAGCAGATGCTAAAAAATGCTAATAGCCAAGATTTCAGAGTCTCTGTTGTGACATTTGAAGATAAATTTCTCCACAATGCCTATAGCTACAGAGGTGAATGTGTGCTTGTTTCAAAGTTCTTTTTACTTCTTGTACTAAATATATAAATACTTTAGTGTGCATTGGTTCACTTTTTTTTTTTACTTCATGTTTTTTTATGTTATCAGGCTTTATATTATGCATTGTGGCCAGACATAGCTTTTCATAGTGCTTCTGGGTGGGTGTGCAGCTGAAACCTCCCTCACAGAGGACCATGCTTGGAACCTTGGAACACTTATCTTGAATTTTCCAAGGCTACGCTTTGACCAAGATAAAAGCCAGGATGAAAATTAGTCTCAGGTAGTCAGTCTTCTGAGTCAGTTTATATGCTTGACTGTTGGGTACCTCTAAAATCAATTTTATTTTTGCCGATCCAAATAATTGCTGCTTTTACTATGATGGCAATGCTTTTTTTTACCATTACAGCATTGCATTAATCTTCTATCCCTGCCAGTCTCCCGTGTTGTATTCACTAGAATGAGTGCATAGCGTAACACCTGGCTCTC